ATGATATGCGGTGTGATCAGCAAGTGATGGCCAGTAAGGTGCCCAAGAGGTCTCGGTCAGACGGAGTTAGCTCACCAGCCAAACAAAGGACTCGTCGCTGCCTACGAGAAATACCTCCAGTGACCAAAATGAACACTTCAGAACCAGAACCTCAGCCCCAACCAGGTACGTCTGCACAAGAAACGATTGAAGAATCACCTTTCTTTACTCCAAACCCCTACCAAGTGCTTCAAAATGACAGAGAAGTAATGGTGTCTGCAGCAATACCCAGAGAACCAAAGCCTCCTCCGATATTTGTGAAAAATATAAAAAATTTCTAGATGTTCTGCACCCAACTAAATAAAATCTGCTCTGGCAGTTATTCATGCCTTAACAGGACCAATGACACCAAAATAACACCTGATTCTGCAGAAGCCTACCGAAAAATAGTGAAGTACTTATCAGAAACAAATGCGAATTTTCACACTTACCAGCTGAGGCAGGAAAGAGCTTTACGAGTAGTGATAAGAAATTTACACTCCTCAACCCCCACTGAAGTTATTAAAGAAGAACTAACGACACTTGGTTTCAATGTACGCCAGGTAACAAACATTTTGAAGGAGGACAGGGAGCAGCCAGGATTACGAAATGGGATCCCACTACCATTGTTTTTCGTGGACTTGGAGCCATCACCAGGTATCGAAAAAAATATATGATATCACAAGAATATACTACACAATGGTGAAAGTTGAGAAGCCATATCCTAAGAGAGACATCGTGCAGTGCCATAATTGTCAGACCTATGGCCACACGAAGACATATTGCCACCATCTGCCGCGTTGCGTGAAGTGCGGTTAACAGCACAAATCTGTAGAGTGCACCAAACCTATACAAGATCCAGCAGTATGTGCCCTATGCTTGGAGGGACACCCGGCCAACTACAAAGGCTGCCAAATTTACAAGAATCTCAAAACCAGACACCAGAAAAACCGGATTCAAGATGAAGCACTAAGAACAAGAAGAGAGAGAGAGCCTTCCAGAATTGTAAACAATGATGTCTCATTCTCCCAACTACTTAGAGGTAAGACTTTAACCGATAAATGTCAAGCCCTGCCACAACAACAACCTCAACCCCAACCTCAAAATCCTCTTCATCCTAATATACCTAACCACCAACAACAAATTCCTCATATTCCTCCTCCTTCAAATGCAACAGATCTCACAAGTTTGTTAGCATCTTTCCTCACCGATTTCAAATCTCTTGTTACTCCACTCATATCACTCCTCACGAATCTCGTATCTCACCTCATCCCTCCTTTGAAAAATCCTTAAATGACTCACATCCCTAAACCCATATCCATTCTCCTTTGGAATGCGAATGGTGTTAGAAATCATACAGACGAACTATCTACTTTACTACTTGACAAGAACATTGATGTGGCACTAATTACTGAAACTCGACTGACCACTAAACAGCACTTCAATATACCACAATACCTGACATATCGTACTGACCACCCTGACGGAAAAGCACATGCCGGTACTGCTGTAATTGTACACCAATCCCTCTCCCATCACGAACTCCCATTACCAATACATGATTTCCTACAGTCCACCGCTATCGTGATAAAAACCTTCTCCTTTCCGGTTACTCTTGCATCAGCCTATTGCCCTCCTAACCGATCCATATCCAATCCCCAATTCAGTTCTCTCCTCGACTCCTTAGGACATCACTTCATCTTGGGTGCAGACCTAAATGCCAAGCACCAACAATGGGGTTCCAGAACCACGAATTCTCGTGACCGAACCCTGCTGTCTGCACTCAATTCCCAACGTTTTCACCTCCTTTCCCCCAACTCTCCTACCTACTGGCCCACAGATCCCAACCGTAATCCTGATCTTCTTGATTTCTTTATCCACAGCGGCTTAAGTCCCCTCAATTGTTCTATTACACGCCTAAATGAACTTTCCTCTGACCATAGTCCTCTAATCCTTAATGTTTCACTTGAACCTTTTCCCAAACCTTCTCTCCACCGTCATTCATTAGGGGTCCAGTAAACTGGGACCTTTTCCGCCAAATAATCTCCGATAATATTGATCTCAACATATCCCTCAAAACTCCCGATGACCTTGATAGTGCCGTAAATTCCTTTACTACCACAATCCAACAAGCCGCCTGGACTGCCTCCTTCCCAAAAGACTCCTCCAGAATTCCTATAAAGACCATTCTACCCCAACACCTCCTTAACCTAATCCGCACCAAACGCCGTGCCAGATTATTATGGCAACGTACCCGACATCCTACCGACCGCTGCTCCTATAATTACTACTGCAAACAATTAAAACTGGAATTAGCCACCTTCAGATCACAATCCTTCAACTCCTACCTATCCTCCCTCTCTTCTCGCGACAATTCCCTTTGGAAAACCACAACAAAAATCCTAAATCCTCACCGCATTTCCCATCCTCTCCGACGAGGTGATGGCTCCTGGGCAGCATCTGACGAAGATAAAGTTGAGGAGTTCGCCATTCACCTATCCAATACATTTATTTCACATCCGGAATCCCATCCTGCCCACACCGTAACAGTAGAAGAACTCCTTACATCACCAATCCCACTTTCCTTGCCCCCAAAAGCTATTCATCCTTCCGAAGTAAAATTTCAATTAAAAAAACTAATCCCCCGTAAAGCTCCTGGACATGATCTCCTTACACCTCAAATCCTTCGACAACTTCCATCCAAAGCAGTCATATTCCTTACATACATCTACAATTGTATCCTACGCACCACCCACTTCCCTCTGTTATGGAAACACTCCACTATTATCCTTTTCCCAAAACCAGGCAAACCTCCCAATATCTCAACATCCTATAGACCAATTAGCCTACTCCCAATCCTTTCAAAAATTTTTGAAAAGATCCTTTTGAAACGAATCCTACCCATTATAGAATCCCAAAATATTCCTTCCCATCAGTTTGGTTTTCGCTCCCAACATTCTACTGTTCAACAAGGACTCCGAGTTGTTGATCATATTTCCTCAGCCCTAGAAAACAAGGCATACTGTTCGGGTGCATTTCTGGACATTGCACAGGCATTTGACCGGGTATGGCACTCCGGACTGCTCTTCAAGCTTAAAATCCATTTACCTCAGTCCTTGTACTTAGTCCTCCGATCCTACCTCTCTGACCGTTCCTTCCGAGTTCGCTGTGGAACAGAATTTTCCCATATCCACTCCGTTAAAGCCGGTGTTCCCCAAGGCAGCGTCTTGGGTCCCGTGCTTTACATCCTCTTTACTGCTGACATCCCTGTTCATCCCGATACTTTTCTTGCAACATTCGCTGACGACACCGCAATCTTATCATCCAACTCTGATCCCAACATAGCATCCTTAAATCTCCAAAACCACCTCACCTTGATTGAGCACTGGTGTAATAACTGGCGCATTAAAGTTAATGAATCTAAATGCCAACATATTACCTTTACACTCCGACGCAGTTCCTGTCCACCAGTACACTTTAATTCCATCCAGCTTCCTTACTCAGACACAGTCCGGTATCTTGACTTTCATTTAGACCGAAGACTAACGTGGAACCCACATACTAGACTCAAAAGACAAGAACTCAACCGACGATACGGCCAGCTATACAGACTACTAAACAGAAAATCCAAACTTTCTATTGAAAACAAATTACTTATCTACAAGACAATACTGAAACCTATATGGACATACGGACTTGAACTGTGGGGGACAGCAAAAGTTTCTAACATCAAACGTATTCAATCCTTTCAATCTAAAGTCCTTCGAACAATAGTTGATGCCCCGTTCTATGTAAATAACAAAATCCTACACCATGACCTTAATATCCCATTTGTCCTAGACCTTATTCCAGAAAAATTCTCCAAATTTCACCAGAACCTTACCTATCATCCAAATCCCCTTGCACAATCTCTATCCAGCACCACCCATCCTTACAATCCTCCTCGAAGGTTGAAGCGGCAGTGGCCCAGAGACCTTTTGTAAATAAGCATCTATTGGAGTTTTGGCAATGGCCAGATCCTCCACTCAAGCCCGAGTGTGTATGATTAGGTTAGTTCTTTTGTTTATATACATTTATTTTATTTTATTGTATTTATTTTTATTTTATTTTATTGTATTTATTATTATTAAGTTTCTGTATTATTTATTTATTTTTTTATTGTAAATAGAGTGTGAGTGTGCTTTCTCTGAACACTATTATAAATGTCCTTGATGTGACAGAATGTAATATTTCTAAATAAACAAATAATAATAAAAAAAAAAAAAAAAAAAAAAAAAAAACAATCGGTTCAAATTTCCGATATACGGTTTTCGACAGATCTATACGTTTCAGAGCTCCCTTAGTCCGAATAACACATTTTAGCCTGTTCTTTTTTTTTTTTTTTTGGAAGGTAATGAAATTACCTACAAAACTATATTAAAATTTTTATTTCGGATAGCTATTAACGACGTTACAGCTATTCAATTTCATATGTAAGATTATGAGTTCAAATCTCGGAGGGGGAAAGAGTCGAAAGACAAAAAAATATGTTTCAGCGTTGATATAAAGTGACACTTCCGGTTAGCTGATCCTGGGGGAAAAGTTGCTGTCACATCTAAGGCATATACCTATCTAAAATACGTTATATCAGTTTCGTATGACTTCATTTTTGAGCTAGACTGCTAACATACAAACACACCATTTTTCGGTACTTGGTTATTTGGACTCAGGTTACCTCAAAAAGTACATTCCCGTTGAAAACTAAGATTCAAAAATTTTTTCGATCGCAATACTTACCCTTACTATATATTACTTATATACGTGAGTGACAGTAAAAAAATCTGGTAAGCGCAACACACAACTTTCACTTACCGCTCAACTTTGAGTAGAAATTATTTTCTGGCTACGTTGGGCTATTATACAATTTTTGAATTGCATTTTTAACTAAGATAAAGCTAGAAAAGTACAGTTAACAAATCATAAACACCATTAAAATAACAACAGTTTTATTTCTTATATCATCGGTTGATGGATTGTACGACTATTAGTTATTAAACTGTTATTTTCCATTATCCATTCAAAGTTTACTTAAACGGAATTAAGAGATTGGCATTGTCTGCCATAGACAGGTCAAAAGTCGTCAAATTCTTCCCATGACTTTTTCTTGTCCTCTCTAATAACATGCTTAGTATCATTCCTCCACTTAACATCACAGGCGGATCTACGGAGAGGGGGCTTCCGGTCTGAAGCCCCTCCCCCGCAAAATGGTAAAATATAACTATGTTTTACAGAAAGAAATATTAAAAACTATCTCTTAAAGTATTCTTGTTCGTGTAATTACATTTAATAAAACTTCAAGAACCACTTAAACACCATTTGATATAGGTAGTTAATTTCTTTTATTTTTTTCTAATTAATTATCGTTATATGTATATGAAAAAAAATCTTTCGGGCTGAAGCCCCCTCCAAAATTAAATCCTGGATCCGCCAGTGCTTAACATACTCTTCTCAGTTCTGTGGCATAGGGTCTATCAGGTATGCCTTTTTCTTTCTGTGTATTGTTTCTTTGCTCCACCAATTTGTGTGCTTATATCTGGTGATTATTTTCTTCACTCCACATACTGACCTTGCTGATTCAAGTATGCTATCTTTTAGAAACTTCCAGATTTCTTCCACAGTCCCATTATGGTCTAACTTTTTCAGTTTTGCTTCTGGTCATATTCTTGTCTTTTCTCCACTGAATCAAGGGCTCACACGTCACTTCTTGTATGTCTTGAATTTCATGTTTCTAGGCTTCATTATCTGTGTGTCTATGACCAAATGCAAATGATCCTTGTCTATTTCAGCACAGCTGATCACTTTAATATCTGCGAACCAGCATCTGATCTCTTCTTCAAATATAAAGTAATCAATAACACTGTTTCTTTCCTGTGCTCTTTTATGAACCCTCTTATGGGGAAATAAGGAGTTACCAATAAGCATGTTATTATCAACGCATAAATCTATCAATCTCTGCCTATTTTCATTTTTTGTCTTTTCAGCTCCATGATTCCATGCGCATCTCTAAAATTCCATCCGTTCCTTGCATTGAAGTCTCCACAACAGATAATATTCCTATTCATCCTTTTGAACTTGTTTGTTATTATTTCTATGTCTGAGTAAAATTGTTCCTTTTCTACCACAGAGGAGTCTTGAGTTGGAGCATAAATTTGTACTATAGTGATTATACCCAGAGATAGCTGGAAATTAGCTGTTATTATCCTAGGCAAGACGGCCTCCCATTCTTCCATTTCCTTGTGCCAATTCTTCCTTAATAACAAAGCCGACACTTTCTTTAGCATGTTCCCCTTTAGGGACCCTTGAATATATTAGAGTGTAACCCTTATCCAGACCCACTTCTTCAATTCCTTTCCTTTTCACCTCAGATATACCAAGAATGTTTATCCTGTATGAATCCATATGTGGAGAACATGTAATGGAGAGGAGCTGGAGAATGTAGACTACTACACATACTTTGGAACAATTTTCAACAAATCTGGGAAAATGGAACAAGAAGTTTCCAACAGAATAAAGAAAGCAAACAGTATATATTACCAGATTTGCAAAAGACATTGTGGGAAACAGAGAGGTAGGAAGAAATGTCAAACTCCACTTCTATAAAGCAGTATATCTCCCTACATAATTATATGGCAGCGAAAGCTGGATCAGCCAAGACAAACACTTAAGCAGGATTACGGCTGCTCAAATGAAATTTTTATGAAGAATTTTGGGAAAAACCAGGAGACACAAAGTGAGGAATGAAAGAATAAGAGAGGAACTACTGATACCCTCACTGAAAGCAACTATGGAATGCCAGCAACTTCGATGGTATAGGCCCATGTGTAGAATGGAAGAAAGCAGAGTACCAAGGAAATGTATGGAAGCGAGGCCAACTGGCAGAAGACCACAGGGCAGACCTAGAAGAACATATCTGGAACATATCCAGCGACTAGATGAGGATAGAGGAAAAACCCCATGTCAGATGAAGGAATTGGCAAGACAGGGATGTATGGTCGAAGTGGCTGGAGGCTCCTTCACGCTAAAAGGCACACAAGGAGGAAGAACAGAAGAAAAATAATATTATTTAACATTAATCACATGTTTTCAAAGAAATTAAATGAAATTTACTAACTAAATGAAGACTTTTAAAATATTTTAAAGTTTGAAAAAAGTATTTAAAATCCACCTAATCAAAGCAATGCCATTGTTTAAACAACTATTACATTGTATTTGTGTGAAAGAAGTGAAATATCAAATCTCTTCATGCATGTATAAAGCATATATTTATAACCTTAAATACATTTACTGTAGTTTTATAATTCTAGATCTGATATTATATTTAAATTTTAAACGTACAACAAAAAATCGTCATGTAACTTTAAAAAAAATTAAATTAGTGAATAATTTGATGAATTTTCCCTTTGTGAAATCCCAAAATTATCCTGTCTTTCTCTAAAGTATCTTTAATTTGATTTATTATAAATAATAACTATTTCTCATTGTTAGGAGTTATGAAAAAATGCTAATAACTTTTGAAAGAATAATGATAATTGAATACAGAAGAAAAATACATATCTAGGGCGGAAATAATAGTCAGAAGGTGTACGAGTAATATATCGTTGAAAAGCGGAGAATAGGGAAAAAAACAAAACAATACCTAATATATAAAATTGTAGAAGGTAACAAAGAGTGGCGAAAAAAATATAAATAATAATTTATAAAAACTAACATTATTTAAGGTAAATCACGCGTTTTCAAGAAAATTAAATGAAATTTTCTTAGTAAATGTAAATTATTAGAACTTTTTTTTTAGTTTGAAAAGTCTTTAAAATCCACGGATTCAAGCCAATGACATCATTTAAGATACTATTTCATTTTACTTGTGTGAAAGAAGAAGTGACATATCTTTTTTTCATTTATTAAATGAAATTTACAACTCTATAAACAATACAACTAGTAAAAATGCACACATTAGAAATAATTACATGAACAGACTTGAAGAGATACTGCCCAGTGGTAGCACTTCCTATTTAATTATAGATGAGAAGATCACGAGGACATCTTTTCAGATGCCTAGGAAGATTATCAGGAATCGAGGAAGAAGCAAGGGTGGAAACAAGTGGATTCATATGGGATTGGAGTTTATCATGGAAGCATAGGTATCTGGGTCGGGCTAAAACAGTGTCATATGGAACATTAAGGTCTTTATGAATGGTTTTATTTGTAACAAAATATGGAGCATTTTATGGAGGATTTTATGAAGGATTTTGTATTGGATACGATAGGAATTTGATGGTTTGGTAGAACCCCAAAGCTCAACTCCGTATGTCCATATAGGTCTTAGTATGGTTAAGTAGATGAGTCTTTTGTAATTAATTGAAAGTTTAGAGTGTTTGTCTAGTAGGTGTTGGAGCAGTCGGAAAAGAAATGAAATATAAAAATATTTCATGGATACGTTTATAACCTTAAATATATTTACTTTATTTTGATAGGGTTCTCGAATAACTCTAGATCTGATATTATATTTAAATAATTAGGTATCTATCGTCCCTTTATTACAAAAAATCATCATGTAACCTTTTAGAAAATTAAATTAGTGAATAATTTATAGTGAATAATAATTCAAAGAACGTATCAAAGTGCTTCTAAATACACTTGAAAACTATAAAATAGACATAGCTACCATTCAGGAAATCAGGTGGAACGGGCAGGGCAGCCTAAAGAAAGGAAACCACACTGTATACTATAGCTATGATGACCGCCTCCACACATTCGGGACTGATTTTGTTGTTAACAAAAAACTATCTCAGAATGTGGTTGATTTTAAACGGATTAGTCCTAGACTCTGCATGCTCTGTCTTAAGGGGAAGTTCTACAACATTAGCCTAATATGTGTCCATGCACCTACAGAAGTGTCAGTAGAGGACGTGAAAGACACCTTCTATGAAGAGCTTGAAAAGTGTGTCGAAAGCAGTCCCAGATACGACATGAAGATTGTGCTAGATGATTATAATGCACAAGTAGGCAAAGAACCTGCATATCGACCAACAATAGGTCTCCATAGCTTACATGATATTTCCAATGACAATGGGAAGAGACTCATAAACTTTGCAGCCTCAAAAGGTCTTTACATTGGTAGCACATGTTTCCCTCACAAGAAAATACATCTGGCTATGTGGAGAAAATTTGGAGCTAATGGGAGAATCTCAACTTCACAGATTGATCATGTGCTCATTAGTACCAGGCATACGCCTTCGCTGATGTATGTGAGATCCTATAGAGGAGTGAATGTGGACGAGGAGCAAATGTGGACTCAAACCACTATCTCATTATCTCTAAAGTTAGAGAACGGATTGCAAGGACAAGAAGACAAAACGGTGCTCCTGTGTTGCGGTTTGACACATCCAAGCTCAAAAGCGAAGAGAGTCAGATAAGGTTCACTGCTGCAATGGATACAAAGATTAGGACCATTGACCGTAATGCAACCATTGATAATCAATGGAAAGAGTGTGAAACAGCTATGATTGAGGTAGCAAAGGAAGTAATTGAGATCGAGGAAAAGCAAAGGAGAAAACCATGGTTCGATAAACAGTGTAGGATACTAAATGAGGAAAAAAATAGGGCATGCAGAACCATGATCCAGAAGAAACACACCAGAAGATATGTAGAGGAGTACCGTGCAAGAAGAAGAAGAGAAACACACACGGAGACAGAAGAAGCGACAGTGGGAAACCAAGAGGCTTGCTGACATAGAAGCTGCTTTCAATGAAAAAAGTAGCAGGGCATTCTTTTAAATGTTTAATAAAGACCGCACAGGATTCCATCCCCTGAATTATGAATTAAGTAGGGAAAACGATGGCACACTGGTCACCGAGGAAGCTGCAATCATGGAAGTATGGGCAAACCACTTCCAAAATCTATTAAATAGAGGATGTTAAGACGATACATTCCTAAGTGACTTCCTGGAACGGGAAGATGAGGTATTTACAGAGCCCCCAGATGAAGAGGAAATACATGATGCAATTGGGAAATTAAAAAATAACAAGGCTCCAGGAATCGATAATATCCCAGCTGAGCTCTTTAAATGTAGTGGGGGTGAAATAATAAAATTCCTCCAAGAGTTATTAATTAATATATGAAGAGAAGAAAGACTAGCTGCTCAATGGAAAAAAACAGTGATTTGCCCCATTCATAAGAAATGGGATGTATCGGTATGTCATAACTACAGGGGCATCTCTCTCCTTCCCACCGCGTACAAAATTCTATCCATCATACTGTTCAATAGACTGCCATATAATAGACTGTTCCATTTGCCGAATAAGAGCTCGGAAAGTATCAATCTGGATTCCGAAAAGGAAAATCTACGACAGATCAAATGTTTACCCTACGAATCCTGTTGGAGAAAACAAGGGAATACCAGATACATACTCACCACCTGTTTATTGATTTCCAACAAGCCTACGATTCCATGAACAGAGTAGAAGCATATAAGGCAATGGTGGGTATGAGCATCCCTACCAAACTGGTTCATCTAGTAAAAATGACGATGGAGGACAACGTATGCTTTGTTAGAGTGGGCAGAATGCTATCAAGAGGATTCACAACGAGGACAGGTGTGAGGCAGGGTGATGGCCTGGCCTGTTTAGTGTTTAACTTTTCCCTTGAGAAAGCTATTAGGGACTCTGGAATCCAAGTAACAAGAACACTTCTCAACAAGACAGTCCAGATTTTAGGATTTGCGGATGACCTGGATCTTGCGGGAAGGAGTATAAACACCATAAGAGAAGCTTTTAAAGCATTAGAGGAGTCTGCAGCAAGATTGGGCTTAATGGTGAATGTTGAAAAAATTAAGTATATGTGCACCCTACCCACCCACGAAGATGGCGGGAGATTTGAAAGAGAGGAATCATTCATATACCTAGGATCACAGATCAACCGTAATAACTGCATTGAAGAAGAAATCCAAAGACGGATCCTCTCCGCAAACCGCACCTATTTCTCCCTCCATAAACTCTTGAGAAGTAGTGTGTTGTCGAAGGCCTCGAAAATGAGAATTTACAAAACAATTATACGCCCAGTTCTTACATATGGCTCAGAATGTTGGACTACAAATAAAGCCCTTGAGCATCTCCTTCTCCGTTTTGAAAGAAAAGTGCTTCGCCGTATATATGGTGGTATATATGAGGGAGGCGCATGGAGAAGAAGAACGAATGCTGAGTTAAGAGCGAGGTACAAAGAAATAGACGTATCAACATTCATAAAGATGTTTAATTTAATTTTAGACTTCGCTGGGCTGGTCACGTCATAAGGATGGATCCAAACGAAGTTTCTTACAAGATCTTAGCTGGGCAAATGTATGGTACCAGGCGGGTTGGACGCCCCACACTTCGCTGGGAAGACTGCGTGGCTGCAGATGCGAGATCTCTGCTGAGTGTTATGAACTGGAAGGCAGCAGCACGGAACAGGGAGGACTGGCGGTCTAAGCTTGAGAGGCTATGACTTAAATAATGGGTCGTAACGCCGAATAAGAAGTAACTATTTTATTGACTTTAATTTCTTTAAAATTTGCAACACTTTTATTGTTCCTTATACTTATCTTTTGCCTCCTTTCATAACATGTTGACTGCTGACCATAAAATAATTCGTAATATCTACTACTATAAACAAAAACATTCAAAATGCTTTTTGATGATTAATTTGTCTAAAATTAGAATTTTTAATTATATGACATGATTAAATTAAATCGGTACATTATAATCGGTAAATTAAATACAAAATTGTAATTACTTCATAGCAAAAACTACTAATCATACTAGTACTAACAGAAACTCAATCTCATTAATTATTTCTAATCCTATTTTAGACATTTCTATATGTTCTATTGTATTTATATATTCTAATCTTTATTATAACTTAAGTAATCAGTTAGGATGATGACTGTTCAAGGAAAGCAGATTCTTATGCACATTTTGTATGAATTCAACAGCTATTTAGGGGTTGTCCTTTCCTTGGCACTGGAATGGGAATACAAAGATTTAATAAATAAATATAATTTTATTTTATGGGATCTCAACAGAAAAATGTTTATTGGACACATGTGGATGTTGAAAACTAAACGGACTATACTGTGATCTTTCAACGTGAATGCTTGGCCAGCTCAAGTTTCCTTTGTAACATACTGATTGAAAGAATGCTACATATTTTTTCTAATCTTTAAATATTAATATATACTTTTATTAAAAATGTATCTCCATTTATAATAATATATTCTCAGAATACTTTATAGTACAAATTTAGAGAGTTTATTGAGTATTTTCTGAAGGTACTCTGCCCAGTTTAAAATTAGTTATTTGGTACAAGCGTGCATTGCACTTGCAAGATACTGATAATTAGTTGATGAGACACCAGCCACTGAAATCCTACCATCTCTGGTTAGATAAACGTGGAACTCTTTGGCCATCCTGTCAACCTAAAAGAAAAACAATGTATATAAAAAAATGACAAATATAAATGTTTTCTAAATTTCAACACAATTAATTTCTGTTTAAAAACCAAATATTTTTTAATATCAATACTATAATATACTCTTATATCAAAATATTTTTAATACGCTCTAACCTGTTCAGGGGTTAGACCAGTAAAACAAAACATCCCAATTTGATCAGTAATGTGATTCCAATTTCTTGTAGATCCAAGTTTGGCCAATTCATCCTTTAATTTCTTCCTGACACCAATTATTCTATCAGCCATTCCTTTAACCTCTTGCATCCTTGAATAAAATTATTTTTTATTAGAATAATTATAATTTTACTATTGAGACAAAGCCACAGAAGGGCCTTTAAAGCATATTTTCATTTGACAAAGTAATGAAAAAGTATAAAATATTCAATTAAAATATAATTTTCAACCTTTTAAAGAAAGAAATAGAGTAACATAGATGGAAGGATAACAAATTAAAATTTTCAGTAGAATAGGCTTAAAATTCGAGTATGTACTATTTGAATGACATAAATCAGAATAAAAGGATTCTATATATCAGATTGTTTCTTCAATAATCTAAAAACTGAATTTAGATCATTAAATCAGTAATTCTAGAAAAGTACAAAAGGGACATCAGGTCTGCTTCCACAATTAAGTTATGTGATTTGGTCCGTCAACCAACAATTCATGTTCAACATCTACAACTCCTCATTACTTATGAATTTTCTTTAATAATTTTGTTTTCATTATTTATCAAATTAATTTGTTAAAATATGATTATTTTTTTTAATGGATTATTATAAAGAACTATGCGCGTTTTATACACCTCAGAGAATTATTGAGAGCAGGAATAGATAATGATGCCTTTTTGGGTTTAAGATATTTTAAAATAAGTTTTGAGGATAATTTAGGTAATGAAGTCATAATTAGGAGTTTTATTACAATCTGATCTGTGAAATATTTATTTGTTTACAGTATATTCAAGATGAGTTTGATTAAAGATAATAAATAGGACATAATGTAAAAGCTTTGAAGAAGTATTGATCAAAAATATGGCTTTTTAGAAGTAATCTATAATTTTTCTTGGGTAATGATGTTTTTAATGAGGTAACATATAATTTCAGTTTTTAGTGAAGTAAAACAATTTCAATTTTTAATTATGTAATATATACTTTAAATTTGCAGGTCAATTTAATGCAATTGATTTTTGTAACTGATAACTTTTAATTTTTAATTATTTATTTAAGTATTTTTTAATCTTTGTAACTCAAAACTATAATTATCCCCATCTATTTGTCCAGTGATAATTGTAGGAGAAGATTGAAGAAGATATTTGAATGTAAAAAAACAAAACTGAACCATGGCCTGATAAAAATATTTGATTTTCATTTTGAGGAGGGTTAAAAATATTGGTACTTTTTTGAAGGGTAAAGCAAGGTTCAAGAGTATAAGAGTATAGGAATTATTTTGAACAAACTGTTGAAGTATATGTTCACCATTGATGTTGCATCCTTGACTTTGAGGGACTGAAATAAGGAAGCAAAACGGCTATTAATTAAGCTTGTAAGGTATATTGATTAAGATAATAATCAAATAACTAAAAGAAAGCATTTTCCAAAATCCATAATAAAAATAACAACCTAACCTGTACCACTACAACCCATGAAGGGTCTTGGGCTCAGTACTATTTAGGGAAAGCACTGTTTCTAGGTGAACGGTTGTGTAAGGAGGTGATTTGACCGAGATCACGCTCAACCACCAGGTTTTCCCCTTAATTATTTATTTAATTAAGGGTACCCACTTTATAGAGGCTGGGTGTGCCCAAGGAGGATCTCCCGACCCAGGGTCGCCCCACGGCCAATGAAACAGACAAATAAATTTTCTGCCATGAGCTGGTGTTCGAACATGGGACCTTTAGCATTGGAAGCTCAGTACCCTACCACTGAGCTACCCCACTCCCCCATAATAAAAATGATGTCTTAAAATGTAAACATTGTAAAAAAATTACCATTGACTTCTGAGCTTTTGATCAGACAATATTTCTAGGACAATCCTTGCTCCATGGACAGGAGGATTAGAATACATTGGCCTAATAATAATTTTTATTTGTGACATCACACGTTCAACTTCTTCTTTATCCTTACATACAACTGTAAAATTTCCTGCTCTCTCACCTGCAATAAATAAAAAATTTATAACACAATTCATTTTATAATGTAAAAGTAAAATAGAACAAACCTATTAGGAATACAAACCATAAAGTCCCATATTTTTTGCAAAAGATTGACATAAGATGATTTGGTGCCCGTCATCTACAAACTGCCGCACAGCAAAAGCATCTTTCATAGGATCCCCTAAAACAAAATTTAATAAATTTTTGAACCAATGATTTGATTTCAATGAGCCAAATAGCCAAAAAAGGGAAAGGAAGCACGTGTTTAATATTATTTGTTTGTGCCCAAATAAACAAATTAAACTGTACCTGATGCAAACCCCTGGTAAGCCATATCAAAAAAAGGAAAATGTTTTTTCTTTTTAACAAGAGCTGAAAGTTCCTTCCACTGCTCTGGTTTCAAATCAATTCCTGTTGGATTATGTGCACAAGCATGCAGTAAGAGTATAGAATGGTCAGGAAATCCCTAAACATACCAATGGTAAAACAAATTTTAAAAGCATTTAATCTAAAATACACTACAAATTCAATGACTAGCTTTCAAATTTTCTGTCTGTGCTTCCGTTAACTCAATGGGTAATCTTGTTCAAATTTGGTATTAAAAATTTTATAATCACAAAGAAAAATGAAATGTAGTTATAGCATTATTAATTATTCAAAACATTTTTTTAATATTAAATAAATGTTTTTATATGATAATGAATAAAGTAATACAATAATAAGTAAATTAAGTATTATTTAAAAGATAACAAATTTTTATTTCTTTATTATTTAAATAAAATTTGTTTAAAAGCAGGTTCTATCTCTTTATCTCTAAAGCCTGGTTAATATTTGTTTGGAAGTTAAGTAACAGGCCACTATAATAGTACTGGAAGGCCAGAACAGATATATACCTTACCAACAAAGTTTATTGCTAAATTTCCAGATCAGCCAGGCACTTAACTCTATTTTTTTTTTCAAAAATTCTACTTATACTCCTTTCCTTAGGGTGCTCATAAAAAGTGGTGAACAAAATGTCTTTGAGCAAACCAAATTTTTATTAAAATGATAAATGTTTCAATTTAAAAATGTTAAGCCAAAATGGAAGATGTTATATAGATTTAAATTAGCATTATTTTCTATGGATAACAAGCCAAGGGACCAATATGTTGTTTTGAAGTTTTTGAACCTCTGAATAATACTACCTTATTGTTTAAATTTCACTACTTTGCTTTCCACTTAAGTTTTGTCAATGTCAAGAATTGTTGCATAAACTCTAGAAAGCTGAGTCTATCTGTGAACATTGTTCTAATATTGAAATTCTTTGTAATTTTTTGGGTAATTTAATTTAATATTCCATATTTCATAATTTCTATTTGGGTACTATTCACAAGAGTTCCGCACGGATTACGCGTGGTTCACAATCACTTCGATCACACTTGTTCCTGTAATCCCGAATGCGTTCGTGTTTCTCCAAAAGAGAACGAAGGCGACCGATCTCTTGGGCCAGTTACTATTAACTTTCCCGCCATTTAAGTACTTTAACCTTAACCACGTTCAGTTATATAGCAGGAGCAGATTTACATTCGAAATTTAGGCTACACATCATGAAACCTGAAGTGAACTTGTACATACATTATAGATCTGTAAAAAAGAAATAGTAATACATAAAAATCTTTAATTATTACATCTCTGGCTGCTATTTCATGATATTATTTTTCTTATAGATGATTTTCAATATTCATTATCTTGGAATTATTACATATTCTTCATCAGTTGTTTCCCAAATAGGTTAATTCCTTTCTCGAAAATAAATACTTTTTTTTTGTACCATAGCCTACAATAATCCCTTTTTTCGGATTACCAAGAAAAATAACTGCGAATAACAATAATTACACATCATAATTACAAATCAGACAGTATATGCATACAAAGCGCCCCCCTCCATTAGAAAATAGCCCCTCGTATTATTAGAAATCTAAAAAAATACATAAACTAGATAGACGATTGCGCAATTCTAAAATAAATTATAAATTCAATTATTCCAACCTATTAAAAAACTCGAATAACAAAAAAAAAGATAATAGATAACTTAAAATTATTTATTATCCAAATGATAAAAAAATCTTTTATACACAGTTATAGAAGATAATATACAGTATATGCGTATTTGCAGCCACTACATGTCAGCACGTGTCAATAAAAATGTTATTACTAAAAGCTTTTTTTTAATAGGGCTTGAAGAAACTACTCAAACATTATTTTATGTATTTTTTTCTTTTTCTTTCAAAGTAATAACCGTTATATTAAAAACTAATAATTAACTAATTAGTTTATTAATTAGTTAATTAATTAATAATAATTAACTAAGTACACAATTTTTTAATAAGGAAGTTCCATAAAGGGACTACGTTGTATTTTTTTCAAAAATGCACGAAAAGGGATTGTATTATGGGGCAATAGCTGACGTCATAAAAGACGACAACATTCGGCTGTTTTCGGGATTCCAAGTGTCCGGGAACAAGTGTGATCGAAGTGATTGTGAACCACGCGTAATCCGTGCGGAACTCTTGTGAACTAATACCTCTATTAGTTTTCTATTAAATATTATATTTCTTGCAGGAAAGAGCAAAATACTATGTTTGTTATCGTTAGCTTGCTGAAAAATAAAGCTTTACCCAATCAGCTTAAGCCCAGATGGTATTGCATGGAATATAAGTATGCTGTGGTACCATTTTCTGTTCAGTTTTCTATCTATTCACAAGAGGTCTCCCACTCCAGATCTAGAAACAAACCCCTAAACCCACCTGAAAATGTTTTTATATATTCTACTTAAGTTTATGGGTATTATCTCTCCCATAAGCAAACCAAAAACAAAAAGGTGCTTACAGTAGTTATTGTTCAAGAATTGTGTCGGATATGTGGTTAATACTAAATACATGGCTATATTTTTGGTTTACAGTGTTTAAGAAACCTTATTACCCAGAAGTCAGCAAAATTAATGTAATAAAATACTAATCTTATATTCTAATGGATACCTGGTTAATAATCAGTAACAGGCTTACCTATATTTTTGGTACCTGGTATTCATCCGGTACCCAGTTATAACAAGTATAAGCTGGCTAATCTTTCATAGGTAAATTCTATTTTTCATTGAGTATGGTATTCAAGTGACCTTATTACCCTATACCTGGTACTTATCGATACCCTATACCTGGCTAATTACAGAACCCAGTTAATCTTATATTGTTGTCATTCATGATTCCATGAAACCTTAGTATAGTAATATATTTGTTTTTTTACTACTAAAATAAATTCATTAAGGAAATCTAATTCACCAAAAATCAAATCTAACTAAGCAAATTAAAAAGGTGCTTACCATAATATCAGACATCAGTCCCTTAAAATCAAGGCCAACAGTCTGCTTATCATAATATTTATAATATTTAACATTAATGCCACAATGTTTAAAAACAGGAATATGGTTTCCCCATGTAGGTGCTGGCAGATAAACCTCTTTAGCATGTGGATAGAATGAAGATAGAAAAGCAGAACCTAATCTTAAGGCACCAGTTCCAGAAAGTGCTTGTGCAGAGGCATTCTGAAAAATACAAAAGTCAATTTTAGCTCCTTCATATTAAACAGAATATATGCACTATATATAATAGAGTAGTATAGATCCATTTTTTGACTCTCAGGAGCGATGGATTTTGATGAATGAGATATCAAACAAAAGGGAATTTTATGGACAAGTGATGAATCATAATTCGAAAACTTAAAACTTATCTACAATTACAATAATAGTAATTGAAAAAATTACTGATAAGGTTTCAAAAATAGACGAATCGAGACGGAATAAATTGTCTTTTAAAAATTTTGAAACAGACATTGTGGTCTCGCATAGTTCCATAAAACTATACAGACAGGATCGCTGTGTTATTAAGTCCTAAAATGTACCTTTCTGAGATAACACATGGACCTAACCTTATTCTAGAGACAATGAATCGTAACGCCTCAGTTGCCATGGATTTCTAATTCCCACATATTTTATTTCACTAAGGCTTAAAAGCAGTTTTGTACCAAATAAAACCTCCTGTCATGCTCAAATACCAGGAAAGGAGTACCATTGGATATTCATAAATATCAATTTGCTCCAGTTGGTGTCTTTCACACACAATCATATAATCAATAGTCTGATTTTCGGCAGAATAGTGGGCAATTCAAGTTTTGTGATTTGTTAAGTAAATCGTAGTTTTTGATGAATAGAAAGCTATAACTAAAGCATTAATTAACAATTGCTTTACTGTAAACTTGACAAAATTTGCTTCAAACGAAAGTAGAGTTTTTTTATTGTTAAAACCATTTAAAGAGGTCTTTTGAGCGAATAAGCTGAACTACGTTGTGATATAAAAAAAATATCATGAATTATTCATGATTTTTATTTATCAACATCCAACTATACTATAAACACCTCACTTTTAGAAAACTCCCTTGTTTTATAAGCTTTAAGTCCATATTAAATAAGTTGTGGGTTTATGACAAAATAAGTTGAGATACACCTCAAGTTGTGTAAAAAAAATGAGATGTTCTGATATCCTGTTACCTTAAATGATCCCGATTTATAAGTGATCAATCAAATGTTTCCAATCCTAATATTTACGATTTCATGAAAATAATTCAAGCAATCAGCAAGCTTTTTTAATTTACAAGTAGATATTAGGATTGGAAACATTTAATTGCTCAGTTATGAATATATTATATTTAGTTATCACTTAATTATATTTTAGTTATCACTTGCTATTCATCAAAATATATATATAATATAAATATATATAGTAAAAAATATATTTATAAGTAACCAATTAAACGTTTCAAATCCTAATATCTACCTGCAAAATAAAGAAGCTCGCTGATTGCTTGAAATATTTTCATGAAATCGTAAATATTAGGATTGGAAACATTTAATTGATCACTTATAAATAGGGATCAATTACTGTAATACAGAGCTTAATAAAAAACACAGTTTCATTATCATTTGAAATAATAAATATTTGAAAAATCTTTTTTTTTTTTGCAATAAATAAAAAGTATATTTACGAATTTATGTTAGTATAATACTTGGGGGTCAGTGGGAAAATAAATTAAAGCTTTTCAATAATTTATTATGGTTATTTTTACTGAAAAGATGGGTACTTTAAGTTGATAGGATATTAAAACACATCAGTTTTTACACAACTTGAGGTGGATTTCAACTTATTTCATAAGAAATCCTTAATACATTACAACTTAATTATTATGCTAATTAATAGCTACAGAAAAATAAAAATTACAAGTAATTCATGATTTTTTTAAAACAGAGCTTAGCTTAGTTAATCAGCTCAAAAGTCCTCTTTAAATAGTTTTAACAATAACAAACTCCACTTTCATTTGAAGTAAATTTTGTCTAGTTTACAGTTAATCAATTTGTAATTAGTTGATACTAAATTATATTTTAGTTATCACTTGCTATTCATAAAAAATCATGATACTTAAAAAACACAAAACTTAAATTTTCTACTATTCTCCTAAAAATCGGACAATTGTTTATATGAACTTATTTTACAGTCTTGAGGCCTACCATTACTTGTTTAAATATTTGCCTGTACTTACTGGACACACTGCAGATCAACATATCCTACGATTTTATGATTAAATCACCCCTAAATTTTCACATTTTTCGTGCCGTACTAGACGGATCTGTGTTATATACGGGGGGTGAGGGGTTGGCGAGGGTGGTTGGGTGCAACACATCAGTATGTTATGTTTATAAATAGTTTGTGGGGTTGGGTCGGGTGGGTACTGGAGGCAGGTGTGTGCGAAGCTTTAATGGGAGTGGATATGCGCCGAAGTTGGAGTGGGTGGCGGGGGCGCAGCCGCAGGGGGGGGTTTGAGTTTCTTAGTGTTGGTTATTGTGGACTTGGAGGTGGGGTTATGTTTTAATGTGTGTGGGGACCTTGGTGTTGTTTTTGTTCGGTTTTTTTATGAGTTTGGGCGGGTGTGCGATGGTGGCTGGTGGGGTGGGTTGGCGGTTTGAGATTTTGGGGATCGCAGCAGATTAGGGATGAACGTGCACATTGGGGAGGGGTGAACAGGGAGAGGTGACTTGTAATTGTTGGTGGTGCTGTCGTGCAGGGGTTGTGTAAGGTGTGACCCGCGGATGGTGAGAGTTTTGACTTGGGGGTAGGGGTGTCGAGTGTTGGAGGCGTGTTCTGGTATTGGGGTTGGTGTGGTGAGGGTAGGGGTGGCAGGTTGGGATGTGAGTTGACTGTTAGGACAGTGCCTGATAGGATGTGCGTTTAGATATTTGAACTCGTTGTTGAATGGGGGGGGATGGTGGCTGTGTGTATTTGGGGGATGGTCGGGGGGCTGGAAGTTATGCGTTTCTGTGTGGGGGTCGTATAATGCCACGTTACAGGCAGTATCTAAGGTGGGGTGCAGGTCCGAGTGTGTAGCCCTCAACCATAACAATGTGGCTAAAGGTATGGTCATCATGTGAGATAGTGCATATTTGGTAAAAGCTCGGTTGTCAAGTCAGATATTGTTTAATACAAAATATGATAATACCCAATGCCAGCGAGTTAAGTAAGCGTGGGGCCGACTCTCCCCCCCCCCCCCCCCCCCCCCCCCCCCCCCCGGTGTGAGGCGCAAAATGTCTTCCCAACTTCAAATGTTTAAAAGCCCATAATTCTGAAACTAATCATTAAATTTGGTATTCTTACTTACATGTATATTTACTTAATATTTAAACATTTTCATTAAGATCTGAAGGGGATGGGCTACAAATTGAACTTTTTTGGATGATTTGTCATGGAATGACCCTGCTTCTTGTAGTAATAACAATATTCTGTCATCCTTGTTGTTGTAATGCGCTGATATCTACCAACAGGTCTCATATTGGTACTTCTGGTTTCTTAGAACCTGGCTAAAGCCCAGAAGACCATAATCTGGAGGACACCAACTGAACTTCTGGTTCAATATGAAGTCTTTCCATCGTTAAGCAGATTATTACTGAATTAAAATTGAGAAAGGTCAAAAATAACTGTTGGCTTACGAAATGAATATCCTTTAGTTAATAATCTATTAAAATTAATTAACATAATTTTAAATTATTTTCAGCAACAAATAATAGACCAGTCAATGAATGCTCGAAAAGGGGGTATAAAAGGAAATATGGGGGGGGGGACACAATTTTTGATTTTGGGACATTGTTGAACTAGTATGGAGGTAAAGATACTAAAAGTCCCCACTATTAGGTGATGAACTAGAATTTAGCAATTAAATTTTCTTTGAGAATATATATTATTTTACCAGTTTATATAATAAAACTAGTAAAATTATAAATTAAGCATAATTATCTAAATACACATTTTTATTTATAATAAAGATAAATTCGAAAATACTGAATTTAAATTTATTTTTTTTTTAAAGTTGTTATGAAACTGTGTTTTTCACCCAGATATGTATTACAGTGGTTAATTCTTATCAATAAGTGACAAAATAAATGTTCCTGATACCGATATTAACGTTTCCATGAAAATAATTGAAGCAATCAGCAGGGATTTTTTTTTTATTTTGAACGTAAATTTTAGGACTAGAAACATTTATTTTGTTACTTATATACACGGATCAATTCCTTTAATACATATCTGGTTGACAAACTTAGTTTCATAACCACATTGCCGGACAAAAATATGAAAAATCAGTATTCTTCGAATTTATCTTTTTTAAGAATAATGAGGGAGTGGGGGTAGCTCAGTGGTAGGGCACTGAACTTACAATGCAAAGGACCCAGGTTCGAACCCCGGCTCATGGCAGAAAATTTGTTTATCTGTTTCATTGACTGTGGAGCGACCCTGGATCAGGAGACCCTCCTGAGGCACACCCAGCCTCTATAAAGTGGGTACCCTTAATTAAATAATTAATTAAGGGGGAAAACCTGGCGGTTAAGCGTGATCTCGGTCAAATCACCTCCTTGCACAACCGTTGAACTAGAAACAGTGCTTTCCCTAAATAGTACTGAACCCCAGACCCTTCATGGGTTGTAGTGGTACAGGTTTTTTTTTTATGAATAAAAAGTGTATTTCGGCAATTAAATTTATTGCAATACATCCCAGATCATGGAAAAACAAGGAATACAAACTTTGAAACAGCCAATTGTAGTAATTTCTTATGAAAATAGGGGGTACTTTTACTTGATAGGATAAAAAATCACATTATTTTTTTACACATCTTGAAGTGAATCTCAAGGAGGAAGGTCACAATGTTTGTTTTTTCGCTTATATTTCAAAAGTGATGCATTGCAGAAGAAATTTTTTGTATAGTAAATTAAGGTTTATCCGAATTCCAAACCATTTTCGAGCTACACACTCGCTAAAAGATGACATTTTCAAAACAAATCATTTTGTCTCACATTTTTCATCAAACAACGCAATGCAGCGCTGTAATTTTAAAATGGAGATCATTTTCAAAACCTACAGCTCCAAAACATAAATATTCGTTTATATCGTAGAAATCCAAAAAATTCATATAAGTCCCAACCCAGTACAGTTATTTTAAAATGGAGATAATTTATAAATCTACGGTTCTGAAAACAGATAAATAGACTCTCATATCGAAAAAATCTGAAAATCTCAAATAAATCTAAATGCAGTGGTGTAATCTTAAAATGAAGATCATTTTCAAAAACTGTGCATCCAAAAACTTATAAATAGATCCTTATATCGAAGAAATCCTTAAAATTACAACAAAAAATTACTTGAATCATATTTTTATCTTAAATAACGAATAATAGATAATATATGATGTGTGTTATCTGTAAATAACAAATAATCATCTGTCCAAAGGTCATGAATAAGAATATTGAATCAAAATTTATCTATGATTGGTTATTTCGAACTAATGGTCTTATTACAGGACAAAAACATTGTTATCGCGCTAATAACTGAAACCCGACTAACCAACAAACGACTACCTCACTACCATATTTATCAACCTGACCATCCTGATGGAACAGCCCATGCTGGCATAATTATCCATCAATCCCTTCTCCATCATTTATTCCCCTTACTAATTCATAATTTTCCCAATTTCCCAATAACACTAGTGGTCACATATTCAGCTCCTAAAATACCTATTTCTGAACTCCAATTTAATTCCTTCCATAATTCCTTAAGACACCACTTCCTTCTAGGTGCATACTTAAACGCAAAACATCAGCAATGGGGAACCAGAACCACAAATTCTCGAGGGTGAACATTGCTGTCTGCACTTAACCCCCAACACAGCAACATGCTTTTCCCTAATACTGGCCAACTGATCACCATAATCCCGACCTTGACTTTTTTATTCATAAAGGTCTCGGCCCAGACTTGAACTGTGGGGGACAGCAAAATTTTCGAATATCAAACATATTCAACCCTTCCAGTCCAAAGTCCTTCGAACAATAGTTAATGCTCCATTTTATGTCACAAACAAGAACCTGCACCATGGCCTTAACATCTCATATGCCCTTGATACCACCCCGTTCCGATTTACAAAATTTCACCAGAATCTTATTCACCATTCCAATCCTCTAGCTCATCCCTATATAGCTCCAATCATTCCTATAATCCTCCCCGGAGTTTGAAGCGGCAATTGCCTCGAGACTTTTTGTAAATATGTTAATGGAGTCCTGGCAATGGCCAGCTTCTCCATACAACGCCTGGATGTTTGTGGCTCAAGTGTTCTCCCCCAGCATCCACTGGCCTCCAGTCCAGTGAGGCGGCTGGAAGAGAAGTGTTGGGACCTCCTGGAGCCAAGCTTTGCCTTCCACACATGGAAGACAACTCCTGGTTCGGAGCCTCTTGGGCAAATGTAAATATTGTATATGGCGTGAAGGAGCTATAGAAGAATTTTATTAAAAAAAAAAAAAAAAAAAAAAAAATGAAGCAAATCAGCCTCTACAAATATATAGAAAAATTATAATATCTGTCAAAACAAAACTAATAGTGACTTGAAAAGTTGCATGTTGCATCATTATATATATATATATATATATATATATATATATATATATATATATGTATATATAGTTATATATACATATATATATATATATATATATATATATATATATATATATATATATATATATATATATATATATATATATATATATATAACTTAAATAAGACAAAGTTCAGATTTTTATAATTAAAACATCTTAATAAGGCAAAATATTATTTTTATAAATAAACCAAACTCAAAATTATAATTTTAAGTTATATATTTACAAATCATAGTAATATTATATTAATTGAACATAGTAAAATATAGTAACAAAAATATTATAATAACAATATTTGTTCACATTACCAAACCATTTTTTAGTACTGGGCTATCTTCACCAAATGCAAAGCCAGCAGCAAGTTGACAAAATTCACTTATACCAGCAATAGGAGCATATTCCTTATTCATATTTTTTGCCATAATCCGTTTTTCAGCCTAAAACAATAAAATTAAAAACAGCAACAGATTAATAAAGAAAAATCATGCATAAAATAAGATTCCGAACAAAATGCTTGTATACCTCTTTAACAGTTGGCAAAACATAAGGTTTTCCATTATCGTCTCGATAAGTACCAGCACCCAAATTTATCTTCCTTGGGTCTTTATCTTTTTTAAATGCTTCTGTAATGCCTAATATGGTGTCAGGTGGTCCCATAGGGACTTTTTCCCATATTGATGCCCTAAAATTAATTTTTTTTCTAAATGATTAAAATTAAGAAATCAGATCATAGATCACAGAAAAAATTGTTTTAACAGATAAAACAAGGATTTTATTTGATAAACATTTTTATATTCAAAGTAGAAGTTAGTTGGGATTATAAAAATACCAAGATTTTTATTTGTATGTACTTTCACCTTTGACCTCGCAACAAAACATCTTCTCCTAATGTTATAATAAATTGTTAAGAGAAAAAGTGGTGTCCAATTTTTAAATTTCAATATAAAAATATTTTTGCAATTGAGTAGTTATTAAAAAAAAAATTAAACATTCTACAAGAAAGTGATACTAAATTAATTTCAATAAAAATGAATCAGAACAAAGAAGGTGTTGCTGCTGAAAGGAACAAAAGGCTGGAGAAAGAGAAATAAAATATCCAGATAAGTAAGACAAAGCAAAGAAAAAAAGAAAGAGAATGAATATCTAGATAAACTGAATATCAAAGGATTTACGAATCTGCTAAACAACCACAAAAAATGCTAAAATAAAAAATGGCAAAGGGAGAAAATCACAGAAAAAAAATCAAATAGAGGAAGGAAACCTCAGAAATAAACTTGCATAATACCAAATAATATTCTCAGTCTGAGGATGATTGAGGTTAGGCTGAAACTTGCAGTATCATGTTTGTCTTTAATGATTCATCTATTCTGGTTTTTTTTTTTTATCTTTTCTTCCTTTCATTTTTCTTTATCCCTTTTTACCTCAACAGTACTTTTTCATGTTTCTTGTTACCAAATCCCATTATCTTACTTGGAACATGGAAAATATGGAAAAGAACACTTGCAGGAAGCTGAAATCAATTAAAAAAGAGAGTAAAGTGGATATGAATAAGTTTCATGCCTGAACTTTTGAAAATAGTCTTAGACCTGAATAAAAAGCATCAGAACTATCTTCTGCCTTATAAATTGGTTAAAAGAATAGTAATTTTAAAACAAGGAGAAACTATAAAGCATTTGAATCGAAAAAGTTAATGAGGATAACTGAAACAACTTTGTTGACAACCAGCTTGCAACAGAATATTTACAGAGCCTGATTTAAAAAAGATCAGCATCATGGCATGCACCATGGTATTCCATTATTTCATGATTAGAGAAATAGCTGCGACACAAATATGTCTTTTTTTCAATGAGATATCTGGAGCTTACTGATGTCTTGCAGAAGGTCTCTCTGGACATCTTGGCAATACAGGAGATAGACTAGAATAGGTGATATCAAGGGCAAGAATTTCATAACGCTACATAGTGGAAGCGAAAATAGGCATGAATTTGGAGTTATGTTTATGGGCGTTAATCGGATAAAATCCTCAATTATCCAACCAATTAAATAAAGGCTATGCACACTACGCATTAGGAGCTATTTCGGGAACATTAATTTAATTTGTGTGCACGCCCCGACAGAGAAAATTAGAAGAGGAGAAAGATACTTTCTTGGAACAATTGGAAGATGTATATAGTATTTGTCTCAGTTACGATATGAAAATCGCATTGAAAGACTTTAATGCATAAATTGGTAAGGAAAAGGAGCTGTGGCCCACCATAGGAGTTCATAGCTTACACTATAGAACTAATGACAATGGATACAGAATAGTAAGCTTTAGAGATAGTCAGATGAATCGAGAAACGATCCAAAGAGCCGATTCCTCTGAAAGAATCGTACTCTCAAGCATTTCATAAGAAGGAATCACACGGAATCGGTCTATTCAATAGATATTATTAAAAATAAAAGAAGAAAGGAGAAAAAACAATTTTATATATAAATCAAACAGAGAGAAAAAAATAAGTGAGAGTAATCAATAACTAAACAAAATTGAAATGTTAAATTAAATATTTATATATAATAGGTAATTAAAATTAAAAGTACCAGAGAGAAAAAAAAAACAGTACACATACATAAATAAAACAAACAGGGAGAACAAATGAACAGAATAGCGATTGTTTTATATGATTTGATCAGTTATTGTTTTTATTTTATTTATTTATTTTTTATTTTTTTCTGTAAATATGGTATGAATGACTACAGTAACTATTGACCTTATCGTGACAGAACATTATATTCTTTAAAAATATAAGTTCATAAATAAAAAAAAACAAAATATATATATATATATATATATATATATATATATATATATATATATATATATATATATATATATATATATAGTTGGAAGTATTTTAATAATAAATAGATTTATTACTAATAATAGTTTTATAGGTTTTAATTGATTCATTCAATATTTATTTTCTCTGATCATTTTTTTTTTCAATTCGTAAAAATTCTAAATGATTTTTTTCTCTAGTTTCAAGATCTTTTTTTTTAAAGAATATATTTGATCATTTTTTTATAAGAAGTATATAAATATTCACTTTTTCCTATTAAAAATTTAAGACTTAAATTTAATATTGACCCTATTCACATATTTTCGAGGCTCGGATGTATCAAAATAGTGATTTTATTTATTTGTATATTTTTATAAAGCTATCATTTTTGTGCTGTCCTTTGAATAAGTATATTAGTAACTTCGATGAGTTTGTTTGGAATGTCGGTACAGTACAGACTGTCATCATTCCCTCCAAGATAGATGGGGCAACAACCTACCCCTCCCCACCCCTTTTTACAAGATATTATATTGCTCAATTTTCTTAAAAACAGAGCGAGCTAAGACAGAATTGGAAGAATCGTAGATCATATACAATCACACTTGTATGTTCGATGTTTTTCCATTTCCCTTTAGTCTGAAAACTGATAACCCCGTCGAAATTTGCCCTCCTCAAAAATTAAAACAAAACGTCAAAATATGCCCCTCTCAAAAATTTTGTTGGCGCAACTTGCGCCATGGAACTCCCTTCTGGGCACCCCTGTTTCGCTGAAAGACTTTGACAAGATGAGATAAAGATGAGAGGTTCTGCCTTAGGTAGAATTTGTTTAAGTTGAGGTCAGTGGTATTCATGCAGAATGATAATAGAGCCAGGTTCCCAAATTAATTTAATTACCACTGATCTAATGAAAAAGTTGGAGTAGATAATGACTCCATATCTTCATCTTCAGCTGAGGTCAAAGTGAAATCGGGTTCGACGAGAAATAGTAATACATATGAGTTTTCAGCCAGAGTTGTCCTACATCAGTGGAAGTTTGCATTTATTTATTTTATCCCAAGAAGTACGGAATAGATTTGCTTCGATTGAACATGCGACCCTCAATTTCATACACTAGAAAAAGTTGATCTGCTACTGGTGGTGGGGGAGGAGGGAGATGTACGGTGAGGTTTTAAGTGACCCTGTTCTGTTTCTGAAGGGTCAACCGAAAGCTATTTATACCTCATTAGGATGGATATCATTTGGGGACACTTTCTCGGAAAGCTAAAACCCTATACTTTCAGTACGTACTCTTTTCACGCAGACCAGCCCTTCCTTACAGGAGGAAATAAAGCGATTTTGAGAGACCGAGGAAGTCACAGTTTAGATTCCGCCAAATCCTGATTTGTGAAGATCACTTTATAAATTTATGCACTCGTGATTTCCAGAGTACAGTCGTTGTTTCGCATTCGTTCCGTTCTGACCAGCCAATCAGCATTGATTCCACTACAGAGATAGCTCTACGCAGATTTAGAAGTCTGGAAAATATATTTAGGAAAGAACCGGAGTATAAGTCTGTCTAAGCTGCACAGATGGACGAATATGTAAGAGTGGATCATGTCCGCCTCGCCAAGAACCCTTCTGCATACGTCATGACTCATCATAAAGTCATTAAGATTTTTCCACGACAAAGCTTAGTCGTATTTAACGGTTTGGAGAAGATGGTGGGAAGGAACTCACTCAATGATTGGCTTGTGATCGGTCCGCAGCTCCAGACTGCGGAACTTTAGGACCATTTTAGATCCTTCCCTGTGGCCTTAACATGCGATATAAAAATGATGTTATGGTGTATCCGTATTGCCGAAACTAATAAAAACTTATTACGGTGTTTTTGGAGAAGTATATCTTAACAGCCGATTCAGGAGTATGTGTTTTGTGTTGAAATGTTCTCCCATACTTGCTCAGAGAGTTATTGTACAGTTATTTCATGAAGGCCATGAAATTTTCCTAAAGTTGCCCAGCGTCATAACCAGATTTATGTAGGCAACTTAATCAATGCTCGTACTATTGATGAGGCCCTGGAATTGTATAAATGAGTTGATGGCCATATTTGGAGCAGGTGAGTTTGAACTCAGAAAGTTCTCCAGTAATTCCGAAAAAGTACTTTCTGTTATACCCGACGGTAGTTAAGAGGTTCCGTAGTGCCCGGATGGAGATTCCTCGTCGTTTTGGGATCCTAAACTCGATCATTTCAGGTATTCAATAAAGGAAAGTGAGCCTATGTTTACAATAATTTCTCTCTTTCTTTATTGTAAACTAAGCAATTTCCCTCTAATTGCTTATTGGTAATTGCCAATCTCAGTTTGTTTTTTTTTTCTTTTTTTTTTTTTGTGAAATGAGATATTTCACGGTGGAGGATATGTTTACTACAAAGCGATTGTGCCCAATTGTCTACTCTCACATTTTTCATTCGCGAGTTCTTTCTTGCATTCACTAACCTGGCTCTCGTTCCACAATTCTACAAACCAACATGTAATGGTCGGTCCATATTAGCTCTCCGATAGGATCTGCAGCTATTCAAATCAGATCTATGTCTGAAATCTGTGTTCCAAGATGGAAAATCAGTAATAATAACCATACTTTTATTTAATATCTGACTTTCCTTCAACACTTCCATGTAAGCCTCTTCCTTGGTATCCTACACAGCCCTCCTAACTCACTCCAATCTCTTCATCCTTTTAAGTAAAAAATATGTTCTTGTCTCCCCATTGTCAATGTGCAATTCGCAAGTAATAAAACCCACTGGAGTAGAAATAGGAGACGGCATTAGAGCCTTAAAAAATTGTAAAGCACCAAGGTGAAGATAAAATCGTAACAGAACTAATTA